CAAATTCATTCCAATATTAGGAACAATTTTGTTTTGTTGTATTTTAGCAGAGAATTATAATTTTGATTGTATTTTTTGTAAAACAATTATTTACAAATATAATTACGTTAAAAAAACAACGATATTTTATCATTTGTAGCTCAAAACTAACTAAATGAATTGGAGGATATGTAAATCACAGTTTTTAAATGAAAAAAATGTTTCCTAAATAAATTGATAAAAAAAAATTGATTCAAAATGATAAAAAATTAATCGTGATGTTATAAACAAAAAGATGTTTACATGAGTAGTGGATAGTGAATCGAGTATTGTGGTAATTTTAAAAAACATGTTATCATGATTGAATGAAATCTTTACAATATTATTTACTTTTAGTTAAGTTGCATATATTGCATAACTATATGTGAAAAAAAAATTGAAATTCAAATATGCGATATATATATACATATATTGTAAAGATTTCATTCAATCATGATAACATGTTTTTTAAAATTACCACAATATATATATATATATATAATAAATTAGTATACAGTCCAAATAATTAAATTTTATTTAGCATTTATATTATTAATATTGAATACCATGATTTAAAGCTCTACTCTCGTGGTTAAATTATTTGATTCTATAATTATACAACTTTTAAAAAGATACTTTATGATATTTTATTCCATAATAATACTGCTTTTAAATATAATTGATTCTAAACATCCGAATTTAGTGTTTAATCAAATATTATGGAGTATCTTTTTAAAACAATAAATCCGGTTATTAAGGGAAGTTAAAACTGATTTCAATTAATGCTTCAAGATTTGTTTTAAAGAATTGAATAAAATTACTATAATTAGGATATAATTAATGCATAATGGCAGGAAATACTTACTATATTTGATTTAAGTTAATTCTTATTATATATATATAGATTATTAATATATGTTATATTAAATTATAGATTTATTTGCAGTATGCAGATCTTGAAATCACGCACCTCCTAACCCTACCCGTCGCTCGCCTTTCAGCCTCCTCACGCCTCCGCCTCCGCCTCCCCTCGGTCTCCGACTTCGCCTCCGCCTTCCCTCGATCTCCGACGTCCAGCCTTTGAAGGATCGCCTCCAGCCTCTGTTAGAGTAGGGTACCCGGCGTTCCAATCTAATTGGACGTATTCTACTTGTAAATACAGTCTATTGGAATTATATTATGAATAAGGCATTTCTTTATCTTAAGAGAAAGCATTTATCTTATAATTGCACTTAAGATAAAATCCCTAGATCACTTATGGTTATAAGGTATGGTTGCGCATAGAGATGGTGATCATGGAACATACCTTGAAAGCCGTGATCTTAAATACAGTTCCAAGTCGATGGATGTTTCGAGATGGGATATCGAATAATCCATAAAAGACTTGCACATAGTTTGTATGCTTGTTGGACAAGAATGTTGCATTCCATCAACATTAGCGTAAGACGTAAGTACATTTATGTGGGTGCTTGTTAGAGAACAAGTTCACTGAACATGACCGTATGAAAATTCTTAATGAAGAATTTATTCAGTCGAATAAGAATTTTCATGTTACAATAGTACATGACTAATCCTAAGACTTGAGGCACAATGGTAACTTTGTGCATATTACATTCTACTTTGATTTATCCTTTTGGTAGCTAGCACTATCGTTTAAAGGGATAAGTTGGGTATTATGTTAATATGTATGGAAGTTTGTTAGTGGCCAATAAAGGATTCGACACTTATGAAGATAAGTGAATTTCCTATGTGTTTCATAGTTATTAATCCAAAGTCCTTGGCCAAGGCAGAGATGAATAGTGATTCATAACAGGGTTAATAAACTTGAAATAGAATCATAGTTATTAAGTCAATTTGGGTTTCGACAAAATCATACCCAAGACTTAATCGGGAAATTAGATGTCGAAAGGATTTTACATGTATGGAGTTGTAATCGGAATAGGTTTACTCGCTATTCACTTAATACTAGATTCATGCTACTTGCTAGGTGTTCCCATGATATGTGGGTTCTTGAATTAAAGGGTTAATTCATGAATAAGAGTTAATGTGATTAACTCAAATTACAAAGAGTTGTAAACCCACTACTAGTATTAAGGTGAACCTAAAAGGTCACACCTATTATGAACAAAGGTGAAAAATTGTATTTCTAAAGAGTTAGAATTAATTGACATAATCTAATTTGATTAGATATCAATTAAAAGGAATATATTAATCAATAAGATTGATTAATTACATTTTGGATATTACTTTAGTAATTAAGGTAATTACTAAATTAATATGTTGGAATTTAAAATTGGATTTTAAATTTCCAAACCAAAATAATAATAATATGATTATTATAATATGGATGTAAATTGGGAAAATGAATATAATAATAAAGTCTTGAAAAGATTCTCAAGATTTATTATTCTATTATTATTTTTATCTTTAAATATGATTTAAGGATTAAAATAATAAATATGATTATAATAAAATGGTGGTTAAAGGTGGTTTGAACCACTTAACATTATTTATTATTTTCAAAGTCAATAGTTAGTAAATTCAAAGTCAATAGTTAGTAAATATTATTTAAATAAAATCTGATTTTATTTAAATATTACTAAATGTTGATTATTTTATGCTAAAATGTTTAGTATAAATAGATGCAAAATGGTTTTGCATTTAAGGGAAATTCATTCCTAAAATTTCTAAGTGTTAGAAAGAAGAATAGTTCTTCATAAACATCAAGAAAGAGTTCTTGAAATTTCCCAAAATAAAATTCATACATATTCCTATACAAGAAAACCGAGACATTGCTACTAGCGAAGGAAGGTCGTCGGAACCGGGCTTCATAGGGTGGATACGTTTAGAGGGAAGACACTTGGATTCCTAAAGTGAGTAACCTCAATCCGTTGAAGTTACCAAACCGGGAACCGATTCCCACAATCCACATCGTCGTTGATGTAGTTCAAGACATACGGTAAATATTTGTACTGGTACTTAATTTTATATAACAAATCAAAATTTGTATATGATGCATGTTTTAAAGATGACGATCAGTTAATTCGCAATTAGTATGTACGGGTGTTGTATTTATACGATAAATACTTACTTTGAAAAATTTTAAATTCCGCTGCTTAAAGCCCGTACGGTACTAGCGAACCCAACAGCCTCCGCCTCTAACCTCCGCGTCAGACCTCCGCCTCCAGCCTCCTCTGTCGGCCTCCGCCTCCAGCACCAATTAGGGCTAAAACAAGTTCACATTAGGGCTGCTGGATCAAGTTCACCTTAGGGTCGTGGCCCAATTCCAGTTACAATCAGGCTTTATATATATATATAGAGAGAGAGAGAGAGAGAGAGAAAATTGGGCCGCGGCCCATTCTAACCCAATATTTTGTCTACATGCTGGAGCAACCCAATAGTAACTATAAATATATACTCCCTCCGTTTTTTATTAATTATCGTTTGGATGTACATTTTTTTTGCTTATTAAATGTCGTTTTGGATAACTATGAACTAATATTATCTTAAATCCTAAAAATATGTAGATTAGTTCATGTTTTATTCTTTTGTTAAGTAACTTTAGCTCATAATATCTTACTTCATTCCAACAACATGAGAAAAGAGTATAATTTTTTTTTTATTATTTTTTCTTCCTGCGGCAAAAAAATCCTACTAAAAAATAGGAGATCTAAGAGATGTTTTTTTTTTTTTTCAAAACGATAGAAATTTTATATCAAAAAACACATAAATACATCTAGAACAGCTCAAAAGCCGAAAAGACAGCTCAAAAGCTGAATCTAGTGGGAGGACAGATCCAAAGGATCGCCTAGAACGCACCCACTAACAAAATAACACAATGAAACTCCACAACTGGAGAAAGAGCTCCCCTACGGGAGAAAGAACTCCCCAACGGGAGAAAAAGCTCCCCTACGGGAGAAACACACTCCCCTACGAGAGAAACTACTACAAGCTAAACAACAAACAACACAACACGACAATCCCATTCCCGCAACACTAATGAAATTGTTTGACCGCCACCCCAAATGGCAATCAATAAACGATCGAGCCCACCCAGGTTAATCATACAACTCCATCAGTGCCAAAAGACGGGCCTAGGTAAATGCATCACAATAACAAAGACACAGACCAACAAACTACAACAAAAAATAAATAAAATGAGAGCCCTTCCCAAGCAGAAAACCACATCGAGTCTAACAATGGCAAGGTCTCGGTCCAGGATCCCAACCCAGAAACTGCAAGAAAACGCCTAACGGAGTCGAAAACCAACGGACCTAACCCTCGTCCAGACGAACAACTCCACTGTCACCCAGAGATGTAGAATGATAAAATAACTAATTCCTTAAACTACGTAATTTTGTTCTTCTAACCTAGAACGACAATTATTTTAAAACAGAGGGAGTATATAATATAAAAAAGTGGGTTGGCCCGCCGAGCCCGCGGCCCGTGGCTGGTGAGGGTTGGGCCGACATTTTACAGGCCCGCCCAGATGGCCCTGCCCCGCATGCCCGTTTTGACAGCTCTAATCCTAGGCATTTGGCCTTAATTATTTGCTTAAAGCCTTTAGAAACATTGAATTTGTGCAATGATATATTTATATTAATTAATAGATATAAATTAAGATAATAACTTATTTATTACATAAGATGGGTGAAGTAATATCAAAAATTTGTTCAAAATATAAAAATATAAAAAATAATATCCAATCCCACGACAGGTGTTAAATTTGTCCAGCTCACTCCATCACACGACCAAAAATTCTATGGAGCCATCAGATGGTTTTCTTATGGAGCCATCCACCACTTAATGTATTGACAGATATCTAAAGTGTATTTATTGCAGGACACGTGTCAATACACTATTGGTGAATAAGTGTGGATGACTCCATAAGCCGAGCCATCCGATGGCTCCATAGCAAAACTGATCACACGACATGTGTTAAATTTGACCAGCTCACTCCATCCATCCGCTGTTGGCTTTCCCGCCACCGATCATGTCCCCCAACTTTGTTTGGCGCGAATATCTATTCCGCCGATAAAAGAACGAAACTAGGTTCGGAACTTCATTTCTAATTCCACAACTCGGGCGAATTAAACCGAAACAAAATTAAGAGGACGCTTTCTGCGGTGAATTTTGCAGCTGAGATATGGCTAACAAGCGGTCTTCGAAGCGGAGACGCACGAACCACGCTGTAAAACACCAACAAGAAGAAGAAGAAGAACAATCAGCGCAGAAAGTGGACGAAGATAGTGAAAATTTAGCAGAGAAATCGGAGAAGAGAGAGACAAAAGAGAAATCTCCGGTAATCGTCCTCGCTCACGGAGCCGGTGCTCCTTCCTCCTCTGATTGGATGATTAAGTATGCCCTACACCTTCTCTTTCAAATATGCGTTGATGTCTCTTGCTGTGTTTATGCTGCCGCCTTTTTTTCTTTGTTTTATTATTATTATTATTATTATTATTATTATTATTATTATTATTATTATTGTTATTATTATTAATTTAATGATGAAGATGATGAAATTGCGCAATTTTATTTGATGTGCCGAAACTTGGATCTGCTTGAACCGGCGACTGAAAACTTTCGGCCGCACAAGTACAACTGATAACTTGCAAAACAAGAGCCAGGAAGAGCTCCCGTGAGCACTTTGACACTCTAGTAATTCATCAAGTTGGTTAGATCTAAAATAATAACATACTCTTCATAGGATCCCTATATACATTAGGGATAAAGATCCACCAACTTTCCATCTTAGGCATCTAACGGCGATTCTCATCTATTTGAAACTAGCTAGAATTCACCATAGATCACTTTCTCCAAGCATCAGAGCTTTTGCCTTTATGTTCAGCAGAAATCACATGTTATACCATATTTCCCGAAATAGTGATTGGAAAAGAAAAGATGATAATTGATAAGTGTATACAGAATTCTATTGTAGTTGTACATTATCCCCTTTATAGGTACTACCTTGGTGCCCAAGATTTTTTGCTGCCCGGGCTGCCTGATTGCTCGAGATTAATCTTCTCGGGGCTGTTCGACTGTCTAGGTTAATCCTTATTTGCTTTGTGTTCGTCTTTATATTCATCATGTTCTAGTGTTCACATGTCTTTCCTTATTTAGATGGACCTGCTGAATGTCGATAGGTTCTCTCCAATAGTTAGTTCGAGTGCACTCTGACATTTAAATAGGTGCACTAACACCAAGCCGTGTGGGTTAGCTCTTATTATACTATTCTGTCTCCTTTGACTTATATTTTTCTAGTTATGTGGTCGCAATCTTCGCTTAGCCTCGTATCCAGTCTTTCTTAACTCCTACTCTTTCTCCGCTTCAATATAGGTTTCCTAAGTATAGTCGAGCTAAAGGCTCGACCAGCCTCACACCTCTGCTGTGGTTCAAACGTCCTAACTCAAGTCGGCCGACCTATTTCACTTCGAGATAACTGTTTCAGTGATTGGACTTCTTTGTAGATAATGATCCAACAACGGAGTGCTCTAAATGGGGATTTTAAAATAAGTGTCCACGAATACCTTTTCATGGTGTGTGTTGGGTTCTTACTTCATTTGTTGATGTCCTATCGAGTCACACGATTACCTTTTCATGATGTGTGTTGGGTTCTTACTTCATTTGTTGATGTCCTATCGAGTCACACGAATACTTTTTCATGATGTGTGTTGGGTTCCTACTCCATTTGTTAATGTCCTCAATTTCAAACTACTGTTCTTCATTGCTGCACACTTGGTCTGAGCCTAACAACTCTATGTAATCTTAGTCGACTATCGGTAGAAAGGTAGCTCGATGAAACAAAATCCAGTGAAGTGAAAAATGAGTCAAAATCAAAATCTATTCATCTTCAGGAACTAGGAGGATGAAGGATGAACAACAATGAATAATCTCTAGGAATTAGGAGGATAAAGGATGAACAACAATGAATAACTCCTTTTCTGAAATCAAAGTGGGTTGACGCTATTCCTGAGGTGATGAACAAGGTCGAGGTCGGCCTGTCTGGCTAGATGGCTAGATTAGCTGTTGAACACTGAAAGGCAAAACCAAGGGCTATATGAACTCTTCTATTCCATTCTTTCGGCAGAGGGGGAAACCATATGGCCGGTAAGTAAACCTTGTTAATCGGCTCGAGAATAGCATCAACCCACCTTGTTAATCAGCTCGAGAATACCATCAACCCACCTTGATTTGCAGTTATTCATTGTTGTTATATCCTTAATCTTCTTAATTATTAAAGATGGAACATATTTTGACTTTGACCCATTCTTCGCTTCACTTGGATGGATTTGTTTCATTGAAGCGCATGGAGAGCTGCTCAAGTGGTTAATACCACAATGTAAGCCGACTAAGTGTGAAACAATGAAGAACCGACAGTAGTTCTGTGTATTCAAGAGCTCATCAACCACCTCCACATTCATTTCCCATTTCCGGGATCCTCTAAAACAAGGTGGCTTTATAGGACACCAACAAATGGAGTGTAATGGAGTCGGAGCCCATCACATACATAAGAAGGTATTCGTGACACTTATATCGAAATCCCCTTCTTGAATATCTACAAAAAGACCAAGGAGGTGTGGTCCTACATTGAGCTTCGTTTTTTGAACAGTTACCTCAAAGTGAAACAGGTCGACTTATGTAACTGGGGGAGTTAATTATTAATTTTTGGAGACCAATGTAACTAGGGGGGTTGGGGAAGATTAGGCAGGAAGAACGAAGTTTGCGACCCATAACCAGATTGACCTGAAACATGCCAAGGAGACAGAATGTAGAGTTAAGTCACTCGGCTTGGTGTTAGTGCAATCGACCTATTTAACTTAACTTCATATGCTAGAGTGCATTAACTACTGGAGAGAACCTATTGACATTCAACCGTCGATCTAAGTAAGGAAACATTTGTGGAAAGAATCGATTGACATTGAGCAAGTCAATCTAAGTAAGGAAACATTTGTGAACACAATAGGACCTGAGCAAGTGTGAACATGATAAGGATGAAATCAAGATAAAGATGGATATACAGAAAGTCTTGGCACAAAGGTATTCCCCCTTTGTAAAATATAAAAGGTTAAGGTATAAGTGACTCGAGTGTTGGAGTGCTCATGCTGGGAGCTCTTCTCGGCCCTTGTTTTGCATGTTATCAGTTGTGCTCGAGCAGCCGGATGTTTTCAGTTGCCGGTTCAAGCTGATATAGGTTCCCAATCAATATTGTTATCCGATGACCCTCTTCTTCTACTTCTAAATGGTGTATGATTATGTGATAGCCATGAACTGGAATTTAATGTTGCTACCAGTATGTAACTATTGAAATATTTTATAATGAATCTATCAAGCTTGTCGGCTCCATAGCCTCCGTATGTATTGTATACGTGCAACTATCCTTTTATGTTATATCAGTCTTGGTAGTTAGTAAAAGATGATAAAATGGGTTCGCGTATTTCATGGCTTGAACAGGGTTTTTAAGTAACAGCTTGGTACTCTATGCAGATGGAAAGATATGTTGGCAAAGGCGGTAAATGCTGTTGAAGTAGTGACCTTTGACTATCCTTGTGAGTACTTGATTCTGCATTTGGTTTTGATAATATCTCCAATTTTATTTATATAGACGATTCTAGGGATTCATTACTTCTGAGCAGAATGAGCTGAATAATACACACATAGAATAGGCAACGGATTGAGAACTTGTTAGCGGTTTTTAAATTTGTATGCTTTAGATAAAGAACTCATGGATGTTTAATTTGAGCTGTTGGCAGATATTGCTGGAGGGGAGAGAAGGGCTCCCCCCAAGGCTGAAAAATTAGTTGATTTTCACTGTGATATTGTTAGAAAGACTGCGGCTAAGTACCCTGGGCATCCATTAGTCTTGGCTGGGAAATCCATGGGATCAAGGTAATGATTCCAGTATTTTTTTTCATTTTAGGAAGTTATTTCGATATCAAATTGTCCCTTTTTTGACAACCATTCATATTTCAAAATTGCAGGGTTAGCTGTATGGTTGCTGGAGAAAAAGATATAACTGCTTCAGCTGTAGTTTGTTTGGGATACCCCCTAAAGGTATGCCATTCTTTTTTTTTTTTATTGCAGTCCATATTATTTTCAGGCTTTCTACCTAGCTTCGGACTCTTTGGCAAATGCCTGTAGTGGAACAAATGATATTTATTGTTCTATTAGTACCTTCCATTTACAATGTGGTTGTTATAGAACTTTATCTAGTTTTGTTAGTGTTGATGTTGAAAATCGGACGGTCAACGGTCGATTACAAGTCTAATATCTTGCACGAAATTGAAGAACAAAACTATTAAAAAGGATACTTTTATTTCTTATTTTTTGGAGAGAATACTCTCTTTTGTTGTTGGGAAGAAGGCGAAAAAATGGAGAGAGCCTCATCCAACCTCCCCTACTCTCCCTCTTGTGTTCTGTTAGGAGAAAGGAGATGAATAGTCAATGGAAAGAAAAAAAAGAAGGTCCCCTTCTCTCTCTTCCCCCTCTCATATATATACCCCCACTTCTTACAAGTGGGTGATTAAATAAATAAGAGATAATACATAAATAATGTGAGATAATTATCGTGGGCCTGCCGATAACTCTTGCCGGTTCCGACTGACGCCTGTCTCCTCGGCAATTATGGTATCTACTGGAGGCGGCTTTGAATCCTACTTGGCTCGGTAACTGGCGGACTCGACATTTGGGAATCCGGTCGATATTTAGGCGATCGGTCTTGAGGACCTGCTTGTATATTCATTTATTACATATTTTCGGCCCCTTGGTTGTCGGGCCATATTATTTTATTATTTTATTTATCAGTTATTTAATTGGAGCCAAATTGGGTATCAACAGTTAGCATGCTGCTCGATTTCTCTTTCACCATGCTCTGTATCTTTTTAGTTTGCTAGTTGAATCTTCACATCAATTGTTTAGTTGTTTTATGTATATAAAAAATAATGAATTGTGGGTGATCTAGTTGCCGACTTACTTGTTCGAAGTCTGAAATTTACAAATAATTGTGCTACTTAATTTATCATGATCAGTTCAGACGAGTGTCGTGCATTGAAACTGTATACAAGAATAATAACTACACACACATGTGGAAGTCAAACCTTGTATCCATCTACATCTTTTAATATTCTACAGAAATGTAGAAGTCACTCAGATTTTTCTTTGCACTGTTGTAGGATAAACTTATTATTATTTCAACAAATCTTTCTCATGTGGTTTTTTTATTCACTTGTGGACATCTATATAGTTTATCAGTGACATGCATTGTAACATAGGGAACTGGTTTTGCATCTAAAATCTTCTCCCATGTTTAGTTTCTGTATTATGTTCAACATTTAATATTTGTAACCTGCAATGAATATTTTCTAACATGATGTTTTGATATGTAAGGGCATGAAAGGAGCTGTGAGGGATGAAACCCTGCTGCAACTCACGGTCCCTGTAATGTTTGTGCAGGTAAAACACATTCTAACACATATTTTCAATGCCCATTATCATTGCTCAATATTTCGTGGTTCTCACACATGTTTCTTATTGAACTAAGCTTTTGCCAAATCAATTTCTTGATTTGAAACATGTTTTTTCTACTCTTGAAGGGTAGCAAAGATGGGCTCTGCCCGCTAGAGAAGTTGGAAGCCGTAAGAAAGAAAATGAATGTAGTTACAGAATTGCATGTGATTGAAGGGGGTGACCACTCTTTCAAAATTGCCAAAAAGCATTTACAACTGAGGCAAGAAGAAGCAGAAAATCAGGCTGTTCAAGCTATTGCGAAATTTCTTTCGAGCTCTGGCAGGTGAAGTGTGGTTGCCTTTGTTGACTTAAGTGAAATGACTCACAAGCATGTCTTTTTGCTCATAAGAAGTCACTTTTATTTGATATCCATCTTTTGTGCTCTGTAATGGTACAAATTTGTGAAGTTTCAGTAACAGTGTAAATTAATCTCCGTAGCTCAAGTGAACTTATGTACTAATTAATGTGTATTCCAGGACAACTTTTTGTTTTTGATTGATTCATTTTGTCCATATACTTGCAAATACGTAGACTTGTGAAAACTACACTGCAATTTTGAATTACAAGTAATAGTGCGTTGGTGCTTTAAAAAATTTGGTCTTGTATTAGGCCTACCTAATGAACGTAATACTTTCATAAATATACATACTTTTATTGAAAAATATTATAATTAAAAAAAAAATAAACAGAAATATAAAATTTAATATTATGAAAATTTATTTTTATTCAAATAGTATACAAGAACTTCTAATATAATAATTATTATTTAATACCTTGTGCAGCCGTGCTTCTTAAGTCTTGGCACAGTTTCATTTCGTTCAATAATAGTTGCATAGTTATTAAATAATTAAATAAATAATACATGAAACCAAAATAAAAACACAACGCGGATTTTGAAGATTCCTTCGTATCACATAATAGCATTAGACTACTACATGGACTTTTAATATCTCTATATATAATATAAGCACTCATTTATTTAAGACAGGACCCGTTTTTGAACGGGTCAGCAGTTGGAACTTGGAACTTTCCCCATACGGAACACAATATAGGTACAAAAGTAACAGTGGGCTCTGTTTACTTGTATTACATTACATAAACATGGTAACATCATGTCCTTAGTCTTCTGCATAATTAACTCACAATATATACCAACTATCACACCCTTTTTATTTGTTGTACATGGTCTTTTGAATCTTTTGTTACAGTAACATAATGTAATTCAACCAAAATCGGGGAAATTTTATACTTACCACAAGAATATAAAAATATTACTAATTTACGAGATGACATATTTTATTAGTATCCATACCAACTTGAAGAGCTTTTAATTGGCGGAAATAAAAACTGGCGTTATGAAAGGAGGGCACCTTCCTACAATCAAGCAGTTATAGGAATTCAGTGAAAAAAAAAAAAGGTAAGTGGATAATTCCTATTTGTTAGGAATTTATTCTTATCAGCATGGTAAAATAAATATAATTTGAAATTCAAATGTTCTAGGTGAATATGTAACGTCATATATCCAATATAATATCATATTTGACTAAAAAACAGAAAGCCAACGATTTTCGAGACAACGATATATAAATGTAGACCCAATTTTTGAATAAGCAGTATATATTTCGTTTATATTTAGTATATGTTCAGCTTTTCTTGAAATAGGCAATATATATTGCGTTTATAGTCCGTATATATTTAGGGAGTAATTATCTCATATTTGTTGATGTCAATACTATATGACTTTAACGGAAATAATAATTTGTGATTGATTTTGTTTATCTCTGTTTTATGTTAAGTATATAAAAATATACAAAACACATATACATAAAATATGCATAAAATATACACACTCAAGATTCTCATAATTGACAGATCGGGACACACATATACATAAAATATATTTTAAATATACTCTAGAGTTTCAACCGTTTCTCAAAAATCGATTTTAGACTCACATATACATAAGATATACACTCGAGATTCTCAGAATTCAAGCCAGTGACAGATTCGAGACACACATATACATAAAATATACTTTCTTTGTTTCTCATTTCAGAATCCAGATTAAGAGTCGAAACCGCAGCCATGACCCTCTTCTCTGCATCCACAAGCTCACTCGACGGCGTCGGTTCTTCCCCTCCTCGACGGCGACGAGCATATCTCGGTGGCGTCGCCTCGATCAGCCGAGAATTGTGCGACGGGGAAACATCATCAATCATTAATCATCGAAACCTCATTTTTTAGCAGTAAATCGGGAGATTGATCTACAGTAAATCGCCATGGGAGGAGACAAAAATAAAATGTATATTACAAATCTATAACCAACAACCTTTTACCCAAAAATTCCATCACCTCCAAGGAGGAGGAGACGAAGAGAATCACCTAGGAGACCGCGTGTATGGACCCAGCCCGACCATAGCAGCCTATCATGGTATTATAGGAGACGACGTTTGTTTGCGGCATTCCATCGAACATCTTGTGGGCCATATCGATCTCGCCGAGGGATGCGTATTTGAAGATGATATTGTTGTGAAGGAAAACGGGTTCTTGATTTGGGAACGAGCCCATTGTGGTGACGAGAGCGTGGAAAGTTTTGCCCCATCGAGTGACGGAATGTTCGCAGGGTCAAGTAGTGCGGCTGCGCGACGGTGGTTTTTGATGATTTGGCCATTGGAAGTGGCTAAGAAGAGAAGCTTTTGGGTCGAAGGAAGAAATCTGTGGGCAAATACTTTGATGTGAAGATATGGTGAAAGAATTCATATAAAGTTTTCTATAAATTTAGCTACTAATTGATTATTTAATTCATATATTGACAGCAACCGAAATCTAGTAAAAATGCAAATATAATCATTATTTCTTGCTATAAAGCTAATAAATTTCATCTGATGTTATTTATGTAAATAAAGTTAAACATTCTAGTGTAGGGTGCAATTTCCTCAGCCTAAAATCCTTGGTTCATTTTGAGATAGAAAGTAGGGAACTTGATAGAGACAAAGCACTTTTTTTTGGTTTATTTACTCTTTTTTTTAGTTTATTTACTCTTTTTTTTTTGGTTTATTTTGTTCACTAACTTGTATTATACATAAAATATATAATTATATAATAAAACTTAAGCAAAACTAAAAATACAAAATTTTAATGAATGTAACAAAATAAATATTTTGTCAAGGTAATAAATAAAAATTACTTTGAAA